GTTCAGTTATTTTATTAAACTTTTCACGGCTATCTTGTTTTCATTATCAGTTTTATGAGTTATTTTTACGTCAGGTGGTTAAGGCGCTCGACTCGCAATCTGTGGGTCGCGAGTTCGAATCCCCTCTCCCACCAAATATGCTCCCCCACTCTTTTACCACTATTCTTTCATAAATGAGTAGCCCAAGAGTTGGCGGTGGGTGGTGATGACTAGCTGCCTTCACTCTAGTCTTTCACTGCTAAATTAAGGATGGCTAGCGGAGATAACCCTCGTGTAGCTTTGCGCGAACTTCCAAACAAACCAAACCTTACGTCACTGATTTGTTTTCATTGCCCTGTTTCAATCCCGGTGTTCTTTGTGATGTTACTCTGTTTCTTCGCTGTACCTTGACCAATCGGTTCTCCGAATGACGTTTTTCATGTATTTTAATTTTCTATCCCGGTCTGGTTATGTCTCTTGAAATATGTTATGTTAGGGAAGACAAATAGCGTGTTCTGTGTAAGAAAACTTCTGATTGGCGGTTTTTCTTTAAGGGAAAATTGCAGAATATACTACCTTCGCCATGAGTTTCGAACCTGGAACTTTAGTGTTATGAGTTCTCAAACACTCAGTTTAGTCAGCGAAAGACAACAGATGTTTGAAATACAATGATCTAATGAGTAGTTAATTAGTCATGATTGCAATCTCTCACTGGACAGCCTTGTTTTGAGCCAATGTGAGTGGGTTTAAGACTGGGCAGCCTTGTTTTGAGCCAATGTGAGTGGGTTTAAGATTGGGCAGCCTTGTTTTGAGCCAATGTGCGTGGGTTTAAGACTGGCAGCCTTGTTTTGAGTCAATGTGCGTGGGTTTAAGACTGGGCAGCCTTGTTTTGAGCCAATGTGCGTGGGTTTAAGACTGGGCAGCCTTGTTTTGAGCCAATGTGAGTGGGTTTAAGAGAGAGAGAGAAAGAACATTATTATCTTCGCTTTGTAGTCGATAGGTGACTTTTGTATCTTTAAAAAAGGCTGAATATTAAGATAATACTGTATTTAACTACTTTATTGTTCCACAAATAAACACAGCTACAAAATACTTTCCAGTTATGTTTGTTACAAGTTAAGGAGTCTGCACCACGACACATACATTAGTCGTTTATATGAAACCTCTCCAAGAAACGCTTTTAGCGAATTTTAAATAACGTTTCATTACACAGAAGTGGTTGGTTAGGAGGCAAATCAATCCAGGAAGGGCGCGAAATCCCGCTGCTTATCAGTCAAGACTCGAAAGCCAATTTCTACATCTGACAGGCTGAGTTTAACACATCTGTTGCCCTTGCTTACCTGTCAGTTGTTGTCGGTGATATCGAAGCCGACATCGATCCTAACATTATAGATGGCGCTCAGAAAGGAAACTGACTCAACAGTGATCAAGCTAAAGTAAGCCTGGGAACATACACTAACATTACGAGCCAGGGTTCTTATTAATTTGTCATTTCTCTAGTAGTAGTAGTAAATATATTTCAAAATACTTTAGAAGAGTTGTTGGCAAAAACAAATTCAGCTTCTTTATGTAACTTGCGTCTTTCACCGATGTTTTTGTAATACATAGATATTTATTATGTAGACTTATTATAGTATCAGAATTTTAACATTTATTGTTTATGCAATTTTTAGGCCTACTGAGAACATACGGAACATGCGCTTGACTACGGAAATTATAAGATATTCAAAACTGTAACTGATTTTCTATATACTATGCTATAAGTATATAAAACTTTATAACAGCGTTGTCGTAGAATAACATAGGGTTGTTCAATAAACATCATATAAAACTATATATATAAACATAACAACAACGTTGTCATAGAATAAGACAGGGTTATTCAACAAACATTCATACTAAACTAATATATATATATATATAGATAGATATAAATAAAACATAACAACAACGTTGTCATAGAATAACACAGGGTTGTTCAATAAACATCATCTAAGACTTTGTTAATATACACATACATTTGACAATTAACAATTTATCAGTTAATTTCATTGTTAACACGTGAACTATTTTTATATTAGACAAAGAAATTCTTTATCAAAAATTGAGAAACGTTATCAAATTCTACTTCGTAGTAAACTCGACAGATGTCGTCTTAATTTCATGATTCCACTCCCCTTTTTGTACTATTTAAAAACTACAACAACAACAACAACAAAAGCTTTCGTAGTTAAGCAAATGTTTGTTTTGAAAGTAAAAGCAAGTTATTAATAAGTGAAGTCAGACATCTTAAACGTTATAATCGGTATCTAATTAGCCAGCTATAATTGGTAATTATAAAAGCTCATTCCTTCCTGGTCACACGAACCACTATCTTAAAGTGTCGTATCTTGGAAGATGACTTATTTAGGTTTTGGGCTTAATTTCCCTTGAGTATACAGAGGGGTAATTTTGAAATACCTTTTGTCTGAGCGGTGGAAACTAGAGAAAAAGTTGCTTTCTTTGTACATGATGTCTGTGTGTCTTATCTAGTTTGGTATCAGTTCTTGATCATGATAATAATGATAAAAAAACAACAACACGTAGGATCAACAAAAGTTTGGCAAACCACATAAAACGAGGAATAAAACCCTCGCCCTTTTGATAGACGGATTTGGTGAAGGCACAGTTTAATTGGCTGTTGTTGTTTTATTTTTTGTATTTTTTTTATGTTAGCCTCTTTCACTCTCGGTACTGTGTAGTCATCAATTTAGTCCCGAATAGCCTTTCCCCTAATTTGGAGCCATTGAAAGAGTCTGTTATGCCTTTTTTTTATTTTTGTTTAGTGCTAAACAAAGTGCATCTTTAATAAAAAAAAGCGAAGTTATGAATAACGTGGATTGTCCCTTATCACGAGGCAGTCAGACAAGAGAAATAAAGGATTTAATTTGCTCTACTATGAGCTTTGATGTCCCAATTGTGTTTTTACATTAGTCACTATCATGTAGTATTTTTGATTGAGGAGATTTTGACAGGTAAGATAGTCCAGCAATAACGTAAATGTCAGAGATTACCAAATTCTATGCCTCGTAAATTAAAACTAAAACAGTAATATAACATTTTATTTTACTGACTTCCTTACAGACTCTCCACACAATATAAAACTATAATTTAAGACTGAGGAAGAAAACTTAAAGTAGAGTTGGTTGGCACTATCTTAGGGTACTGATAAAATTATATATATTTGATCGAACAATAGAATCTGAAAGTTATATTTATAGAACATTCACGGCACCAGATCGTGCGCTTTCGGTAACAAGCTACGAACAAAAAAACCTCGGATTCACAACCCGAGCACGCCAACCATTCTCCCACGCCCAGCCATTTATCTAATTGTTTTCCAGGTTCGTTCTTTACTTACAATTTATATGTAATTAAAGTCTTATATTATACCATAATATACTGCTTTAGGTTTCTCGTTAACAAACACGGGAGTTAAAAGAAGACAGAAGAAGATGTTAACTGATTAACATTGCTGTTGTCTGTCCGAAAAATAGCTTTTAATAAAGATTAGACACTGTTAATATATATATATATATTTGTTAGTCATAATTAGACATTGTTAATATATATATATATATTTGTTAGTCATAATTAGACATTGTTAATATACATATATATATATATATATATTTGTTAGTCAT